TCAGTATATACACACAGACATACTGTATATACACACTCAGTGATCAGTCAGAACCCTCCGGATCAGCACACCTGTCTGTGAGCAGTTGTGAACATGCGTGTATATAAAAGATTTCTCCAATGGAATATTTAATAGTGACTGTGGAGGACCAGAGACCCAACCCCCAAGACATGAGGCAGACATAGGGAAGACCAGAGCCCAAGGGCCCGAGAGTGATCCCGAGCACAGGGTCCCAAGGGGCACCCACACGGGAAGATCTGCCCACCAAACCCCCAGATCAGACCATAGGGGAGAACTGGGAGAGTCCCCCCAGCGACCACATGCACAGCCCCCGGGGCCAGCAGCGACAAACTCATGGGCCCCACCGGCACACGCCATACCAGAGCAGATCCAGGAAAGGGCACAGAGGTCCAGGTCCCCAGGCCACACCCCCACCAGGCCAAAGCCCGACAGGTCCAGAGGTCCCGAGCCCCAGCAGGCAGCCACCAGGCAAGAACGGTAAATGGTACTGAAATTATAGAGTGCTTTTCAAGTCCCTCCAGACCCCAAAGCACTTTACTCTAACAGACATTCACCCATTCACACTCACATTCACACACTGATGATGAAAAACTACACTGTAGCCACAGCTGCCCTGGGGCACACTGACAGAAGTGAGGCTGCCATGCACCGGCGCCACCGGACCCTCTGACCACCATCAGTAGGCAAGGTGGGTGAAGAGTCTTGCACAAGGACACAACGACTGAGACAGCTGGATGGGGGATTGAACCAGCAACCTTCCAGTTCCAGGACGACTCCCCTGACCACTCCGCCACAGCCCACACCCCAGCGCCCAGCCCCAGACCCCGGGAACCCCCAGCATGCCGGCGGCTAGCCGCACACCCCACCGAGGGGCCGAATAGCAGCAGGCCCCCAAATAAACCAGCAGTGGGGGCAGCCCAGACCGCAGCCTGACAAATACCCAAACATTCACAAACGCACCATCCCACCCTCATCCTCACCCCCACTCAAACAAAGACATACAAGGACGCCACATTCCACTCATACCCCCGATACACACTCTATACCCCCCAGGTCCAGGACATGCACCCACCCCCTATTGGAGGCAGCACACACCTGAACCCAGGAGGTAGACCCAATCATTCTGAGGTGGAGAGGAGCAGATAGCCAAGGCCCGGGCCGGGCCGCACCAGTACGCCCGGCCAGCCCCCCGCCGCATAGAAGCCACACCCATGACCAACCCACCACACCGCCAATGACAAAGTGCACCCCCCCAGCCATCCAGAACCCAGAATCCGGTAGCAACTCTGGCCGGGGGCCACCCACAGCAACCAAGAGCCACACCTCAGGAGACCAAGCAGCACCAGGGAGGATGGAGAGCCAGCCCCGCCCCAGCAACCATCCAAGCCCCGAGTCCTCCCACAGCCCAGGACCGCACATGGCGGCCTGCCCTTCTTCAGGACCCACTCCCCAAATGGCAGTCAGGAAACGGGATGGGAATAAAGACCCTGACACCCACACCCCTACCCCCAGATGTACTGTTGGTGCGTGTTGTTCTATAGAGTAATTAAAAAGGGAAAGAAGAAGAGGCAGAGGCCGGCGTGGTGCCAGTTTCCCCTCCACCACTACTCTAACCCAAAACCCTAAGTGTCTGTATGCAAACCTTGGGGGGTAGGCACAGGCACAGGAGGCTAGAGTGGTGCCATCCGGCCACCTATAGCCATGAGTGCCCACCATAAGTACCTATATGTGAATTTCATGAAAATGTTATGAGTGAATATCTAAGATGTACAATAAAACTTGGGCCTAGATGGTTATCCCAAATAGAAATGTAATATTGTTGCTCTTATAACACAACTGTGCCCTAAACAACCCTACATGGGTGAAGTTGAAAGTGAAGAGGATGGAGGTGTGCGGTGAGGGATGGGGAGAATAAGCTAAAAGAGCAAAATGCTCCCACAGGGAGTCAGCTCCCCCGCTGGCCCCGGTAAGCTTTCCCTTTCCACAAAACTCACCCAGGAAGAGCAGCCCAAATACCTCTCCCTCCAGGCAAACCGCCAAGCCCACAGAACCCCAGACCATGGACTGACGGAGCCCCGAAAGCCACCAGAAACTTGGACCAACACCCCACCCCACCAGAGACACCCAGACCCCCAAAACTCAACCCCAGCCCCATAGCCGGCCTGCCGCCCAGAGAGGCCACCGTTCCCCAGCAAGGATGGCCCGGCCAAGAGTGCCCACCCAACTGCTGACAGAGCAAGGGGGCACCCAGGGCAGTCCCCCGCCACAGCAAAGGGGCCAACCAGCCGGCCCAGCACGGCCCCCAGCCACCACCAAAGGCCACCGACCCAATCCCTACACCAGAAGACATACTACACCCACCCCAACATTCGGGCCACTATCAGAACATGTAACACAAGGACACAAAGGCTGGGTCAACCCCCCCC